CAATTTTCAAACACTGACTCATGGGACTTCCAATTTCAGGTAGACAGACACACTCTGCTACACTCCTACTCACCAACTCTTACCATCTAGTTATGTGTAGGCTTAAGGAATTTGTTAGTTTTAATATTACCTTAGGCAAAACAAAATTGAGAAAATTTGCAACGCAACCAATTATGTAACACATTGCAAAATAAAACAATTTTGAATTTCCCATATCATTGTTTCATTTCTTGAAGTTTAATTGAAAATGTTAATTATCCTCAATGTTACTTAAAATAGATGCTAAATACTAAGTAAAAATTTAGTATTATAGTTAATCGTAGAGGATAAACATTTTCAACACTCAGCATGAATGTGCTAGTAAAACTGCATGCTACAATTTCCGACTTCATAGCATAATTACAATTGCCAGATATTTTCTAATCTCTAAACTCACAGAAAAATGAGTAATGTGCAAAAATCCTTTACAAATTGATTTAAAAATGTCCTTATTTTGAAATTAAAAAAATTGAATTCCTCTAGATTATTATATAAATTTGGACTTCTATGTGAAATTTAGTCATAAAATTACCAGTACCCTTGTAAGTCTTTTCATGACATACTATACTTGCCTGAGACAAAAACAAGTGTTATTAATATGAACCGGAAAAAAATTACTATGATGAATTGAGGACTGACATTGGTGCTCCCCCAAAATAGTACTGGCCAGTCATTCATGTGAAAATTCTGACCAAGGTTCACGATTTTGCCAAGATGAAATGAGGTTGGTCACAAACAGTAAGTTTAAGAACTGTTTTTCTTGCCTGTCACAGGGTTCTATCTATCTTTGATGCCATATTTTAAATTATTCCATGTTTTTAGATAAGACATGAAAAAACCAAAAATATAGACTCAGACTGGTTTCTTCTGAGACATTATCTAAGTTAAAATGAATCTCAAGTGATACTAAATTTTAACTTTAGAAAAATATTTAGAACCACTGATTTACAGTTAAGTTTAGTTTTAATTTATGGTGCTTAATATGATAAATCTTCCAAATGGCATTCAAACTTTAGCGCTTTCCCTGAAATTCCCCAAATTAAAACTTTTCATCTCTCAATCTCACCTACAAAAGTAAACACAATTTTTGAAAAATTAGCTAACTCAAATCATTAAGAGGTATACTCCCTAGAAGTTACATACTAAAATTTGATGGACTTAAAACAAAACCTCTGATGCTTCCATTAAGAAGCTCTTCAAATTCCTGCTTACTTTAAAACAAATATAAGATGCTGCCTTAAACAAACAAACCTAAAAGAATAGCAACAAAAAGAAGTAAAACCTCCGAAAAGAGGAAAAAGGAGGAAAATTTTTATTTTGGTCATACAAAGGAAGACCAAATGTTTTGAGCTTCAAGTTTTGGAACCTTATACCTCAACTCTTGTCTAAGTACCTGGATAATATTCCTCAACACTTTTAAACAAAACAGTTAATTTTTGTCAATTCCTTCATTTCTTATTATACATAGTATATTTCAGTCAAAATAATGTTTATTTCCTTGAAAATGCTAGAGATATTTTGTAGTCATCAATTCTATATAAAAACCAAAACTCACCAGGTGTGGAGGCTTACACCTGTAATCTAACACTTCGGGAGGCTGAGAATCACTTGAGACCAGCCTAAGCAACATAGTGGGACACTGTATCTCTACAACAAAATTAAAAAATTAGCTGGATGTAGTGTAAGCCTGTAATTTTAGCTACCTGGGAGCAGGATTGTTTGAGTTCAGAAGTTAGAGGTTGCAGTGAGCTGATTATGCTACTATGATCCAGCCTGGGTGACAGAGCAAGATGGCCTGTGTCAAAACAAAAGCGAAAACAGCAAACAAAAAGAAACTTGTGGTTTTTGTTTTGGATGCTTAAGTCTCACTTTAAAAACCTGAATCAAAATAGCCTTTGGTTAATAAAAGATTACATTGTCTCCGAGCTCCTTAAATGAAGTAAAAGCAATCAATTAGGCAAATACCTTTTATCTTATGGAATAGTCTGACTAGTGTTCTGTACCAACATAACCCACTTCATACAATGATTTAGACATTTCCGCCACAAAGAAAAGTAGATTTATGTTTACTACAGAATTAGAATAATTACTTAAAAAGAAATTTTCCTTTAAAATTTCTTCCATCATGGATACTTTAAATATCAAGAACAGGTATTTTTAAATCTAGGAAAAACCTAAGTGTTACATAAGGTAACAAACAGTACTATACCACCCACAGTATAGCCCATTTAAAACAGACTTTGCTTAAACTATACATAGCCATTGTCAAATCAGGTTCTCAGTTGTATTGAAAGATATACTACCAGCCTTTGGTCAGAAGAGACTTATGTAATGAAAGCAATAGTTAGTACATATATACTCATCTTGAAAAAAAAAAATCATTTATGTTACATCAACATAATGAAAAAAAGAATAATCAACTTTAAATTAATTTAAGAGCAAGAATGAGTAATAGAAATCTAGCACTTATAAACAGCAACTATTTTTGGCAGCCAAAGACTACTGTAGAGTAAGTTTAACTACATTCAGGGATAAAAAATATGAAATGAACACATTACAATATGATATAAACTACCTGTATAGTTTTCACAAAAGGGTAAAATATTCAATTGGTGGATAAATGCTAGGAATTGTGTCAATGAATATTTTACTTCCCTTAAAAATTTAGTTGTATTTTGATAAGCAATGTCTTAAGATTTCAACTCTAAAATATTTGATACACAAAAATCACAGGAAAATGTTTGAAGGGAAAAATAAATTGTTTTAAGTTAAATTGTTTGGAAGAGATATCAAACACCTACGTTCTAGAACAAAAGTGGCAAATATCTAACAAAAAAAAAGAACAAATCTATATCTGGGAATATTCTAATAAACAAAGCTATGTGATACAATACACAATTATATTAAATTAAAGGTTATGGTAGAACATTGAATAGTTATATACTTAGCCCAGTTTTCTAAAGAATAAGTGCATGCTTTCTCTCTAGAAACTGGAGGATGCATTATTGCACACAACAAAGATATCACAGGAGAACTACTTGGCATTGAGTTGGGGAGGTAAAGGTTAAATTACATTATTCAAATACTTCGACTTCTAATTCCATCAGTTCAAGGTTAAGCAGGGCTTTAGCTTTCCAAGGTTATCACATGCATACATATTTGAATACAGGCACAGAAGCTTGTCATTTTTATTTGGGTAACAAAGGGTCTCCAAATTATGTGGAAAAATAAATCCTAGTTAATATCACTTGTAAAAAAATTTTAGCACACTTTTCACAAATGATTTATGTAAAAAGAGAAGAAAATACACATAATTTTATATCTTAAACTTTTTTTATTCCCTACCATAGACATTTTTCTTTCATTTTCTTTCAGTTTTCTACAATTTCCAACTTGTACCTGTATTTAATACTGCTTTACTCTGCTAAAGACAGTAACTGATTGCTTTCCTAAATCTAACGATTATATAGTTTTAGTATAAATATATATCACATATTTTTGTAAAATTTTGACAAAACCGAATAAGCATGCCTTGTTTTAAGCCCATGCTCTTCCACTGTTTATAAAATCTGATTTAATGATCAAAAATTCTTGTTACTCTTCAGTTACAACAGTCTTCCTTCTGAACTGCCACTCGCTTTTTACATAATAACAACAAGCAATAGGAAAACCAAAGAAATTATGCTAATCTTAGTCCTTCCTTTTGATGCTATAAAATAATGTGAATTTCTTTTTTAAATGAAACAAATACATCCAAAACTCAATACATTCAAATGAGCTGAGTTCCTTTAAGGTAGTCACCTCAGAAGGCCACACAGTTCATTCTCCTAACTATACTGCCACTGCTCAAAATACAACTCTTTTGGGACTGCCTTCAAAGCCAGTTGCATATGCTCTGCCTAAAAGTGAGATTTAAGTTTAGGAAATTGTCATTTGGTGCCAAATAATGGTAACTGAAAAGAATCAGGGTAGATAACATATACATTTTTTTTAAACAATGTATATATAATGTTAATAGAGTGTGTGATTTAAGTTAACTTTGAATGCAATTCTAAAAGAGCAAACCTAAGAGGTTCTGGGCAATGGTAGATTGCTGGCATTAGGAAATAACCTTCCAGCATGATCACGATGCAGGGTAACATTCATTTAGCTGTCTATGTCTGGCATATTTGTTTAAAGTGAACATTCTGAGAGTTAGAATTTTTTAAAAAAGGAATATTGTTCTTAAAAAAAAAGAATTTTATTCCTTTAAAGCATTACTGTCAATAAGTACTATGCAAGTGTTTTTTGTTAGAAAGTAGTTCTCCTTACTTTATCAATAAAGACTACTTTTAAAAACGTGAAAGCAAATAACCAACTTATTTGCTTCCAGGCTTTTAAAAATTATTAACTGAAGATAAAATAATTTGAAATTTCTAAGGTTCTAAAAAACAAAACAACAACCCCAAATGTAATAAAAACACATCAAGAACCAAACTACAATTTCTGAGCTGCACTGTTTATTTTGCTGCTTGAAACCTAAGTGACAGTATGCCACTATAATTATGGGGTTTCGTCTAAACCTTTACTACACTGCAGGTACAGAAATATACGGACACATTTTTTGGAGAATTGACATTTTGCAAAATGCAGCAAACATTTTAATTTATACATGAGAAAAGAAGTATTCAAAAGGGTATGCATTTCAAGTTATTGCAGGTTATTTGTGAGAGAATTTCTGCAGGTAAAACATGTTTAAATTTAACCAACAGTAGCGTGTCAGTGTATTTAAAATCATGACAAAAATCTTCTCTCTGGTCATGTTGCCCATGACAAATTACTATGATGTTGTATGTTTAGGGCAAGATGTCAATACAGCATAAATCCCATGGTATTTTGGTTTTCTTCTGGAGATTAAAGCTGTTTTTCTTGGGATAAATGCAGCAGCAAAACACAAACCAGTTGATCAAAAAAGCACTTCTGCCATAACTCCAATAATTTTCAGGACACATCAACCGACAGTAGTTTTGCCATTCCCAGTTCTTTTAAGGATTACATCTCTGCACTGTTGCCTTAAGGACGTCTGTAAAAGCTTGTTCTTTGTTAAGCCAGTTTACTGACTACAGCCTGGTTGAGAGAATTTAGTTGGTTGGTCCATTTATCTAGTGCAGTATATCGTGCACCACCCCTCTTCTGATGATCCAGTTCAAGGAGTTGGTTGACTTGATCAATTCGGCCATGAATAGTGCTGCAAATAAATAAAATAAGATGTGTCTACAAATAATTTCCACTAAGCATAGTTTCTGGACTAATGTTTCAATAAACACAGTATCAATAAATACAAAAGAACAAACTGCTGCCTACATTAAATGAGTTCAGTGTATTACTTCACTGCCTTATTCAACCTCTAGAAAGAAAGTGGCTTACAGCTACCTATTATCTTTTTTTTTTTTTTATTTATTTATTTATTTATTTTTTTTTGAGACAGAGCCTCAAGCTGTCCCCCTGGGCAGAGTGCCGTGGCATTACAGCTCACAGCAACCTCCATCTCCTGGGCTCAAGCGAGTCTCCTGCCTCCGCCTCCCAAGTAGCTGGGACCACAGGCGCCCGCCACAACGCCCGGCTATTTTTTGGTTGCAGCCGTCATTGTTGTTTGGCGGGTCCGGGCTGGGGACTCGAACCCGCCACCTTAGGTGTACGTGGCTGGCGCCTTAGCCGGTTGAGCTATAGGCGCCGAGCCGCTACCTATTATCAGTTTTACTGGAGGAACCACTAGGTAGAGACTTACAAAATTACTCAAAGGCAAACATCATTCGAAAAGCTCTAAATAATGTACTGATTTAAAAAAAGATAAAATTTCATGGCATTCACTATGGGTTAACTAATAATAAAATAAATACAAAGATATAATTTCACAGTTATAGGGCTTATGTACCACAAGCCCTATAAAAACATATAAAAATACTGTTAAATAATAAATTTAAATTCATTAAATGATTCTCTAGCAATATGTAAGTCATACATTGGATGTGAAATCCTTCTGAAAAACCATTTGAAACTTTTTCAGAGATCATGTATTTAATATGCTTATTCATTTATCAAAAACCATAACACACATGTATCTCTTACAATAGAAAAATCACACCCAGAAGGTGATTTTTATTTTAAAAAAACCCCAAGAAATTCAACAAATCAACTACTACTTGTATCACCATTTTTCAAAATTTATGGTCCCAAACATTTTGATAAAAAAACTCAAAGTCCTAGGCTTGGCATAGTGGATTATGCCTATAATCCTAGCACACTGGAAGGCCAAGGTAGGAGGA